CATAAGTTTTAATAAAATGAAAAACAGTATTTACGACCATCTCGAAGCATTAAAACACTTCTTCGTGTGTTATTTTTCAGCAGTTCACGTGTCTGATGACTTTAAATGGACGCTGAACGTGTTCAGAATGAAACCAAAAACAGTCAGCTTAAATTCACCAGAATAGGTCTTTTTAGACTTCCTACTTCCCAGCGAACCAAAATCTGCTGTCAGTTTATCTACGTATTCAATATATATATCTATATCTACGTATAAGCCTTTTATCAAATTGGGCGTAGTGATTTAATTAAAACTGTGTTTATTGTAAGGATCTTTTTTATAGTTGGTGCCACTAATAATCTGTTGTATTACAAGTGTTTTATTTATTGAAGTTTTAAATGAATCTTATGTATGGCATCGTTTGGATAAAACCAACGCTCCGTGTTTGGTAGTTGAGAATAAATCGATATATTATGTGTAATTTCCAAGTTTTATAATTTCATTGCATGAATAATGTGCAGATAATTCTTTACTTTATATCCTTCTATTATCTTTTTCCTTTAGTTCTAAACACTTGTGAAATATTATGTAGGCATAAAAGGACTCCTTAGTAGGCTCCTCGAGTTAAAATGTTTGGGAGCCATTGCACTAGAATGCAATGGTCACAACAATTACGTTTTCTTAATTCCTTGTATCATACCAGCACGTCTTTGATTAAAACATAAAATAATTTTGTTTCAAAAATTAACTACCAATGTAACATACCAACTTCATAAAAAGTAATCTTAGATGAAATTATATGATAATGATAGAATGGGAGTCATAAATCGGAAGATAACATATAATAAAAATTCAGATCCAAATAAATGAAATATTAATTATTTTAGAAGTTGAACTCTTTTAAGAATTATCCAACTAGTTCATAAAGTTTACATAACTTTTATAAATTAAAAGTTAAACAGAATTATAGCATTCAAAATTTGCGCAATCTCTAGGCTAAAATTAATTATTTTATGTAACAACCGCTATGATGGAAATTACATTCCTTTCGCAACTGTATCTTCAACCTTCCCACTGCGAGTTATAATAACGTGCTTTGAAAGCAGAACAGCTTAAGAATTTTCCATGGTCCCACATAAAGCTTTATTTATGGATGGTTGTGCAAACATAAACGGGTTAGGTAACGATTTACTTGCCGAAGATTACCCAGGAAATGAAAAATACGTTACACCGCGAAAACACAATGAAATGAACGAAGCTGACTAAAATGCTTAGAGATTGCATTGAATAGAAACGGGTTTTATATATATATCACTTTCACTAGAACATATGAATGTAGGTCTCAAATGCATTAAATTCTATGGATAAATTTAACAAGTGATCCTCATCGAGAAAGGCAGTAAAACACGTACTAATACAAATAACTCAAAAGTGTTTCTCATTCCGAAAGGCACAATTAATATTATTCATTAATTAATGACTTCAATTAGATTAATAAGCTTTCACGTTATAAAAATAACTAGATAGTATTTTCGAAGTTTCATTTTTAAATATATGATTATTAATTCCGAATAAAATGAAGTATCAGTATTTCGCTGTGAATAGTTGGAACACATTTTACAGCACTATATCAGTCACTCCTTACAGATGTTTCTAAATATGAAAATTGAAATTTTATTTCCTTATTAAATATATAACTATATATTAGCTTTACATCTGGATTTACACTAGATACCAGGAAGCGTACGTGCATTAGCAATCTGTAAAAACATTGGTTTTCATTAAATTTTTACCATTGCTATCATATTCAAACACTTTTGCACAAACCTGAGACTAACATTTACAACCCCTGTACCGGTTGGGCGGTTATTCATTTAACTATTAACTCTCGAAAATATGCAGATTTTTCAGAGATCGGGGAATTTTTATAACAAATTAATGATTTTAAAAGAAGTACAAAAGCAGTAAGAAATAACTATTCCTCGACAATAATTTGTAACTGTAGTGAGTAATGTTTTCATCAGATGGTAGTCAATTTAATTTGGTGCTTTGCAGAGAATATAATCTACGAATGAATTATGAAGAGCTGAATTTAGCAATATAAGTTTGCTATGAATAAGGATATAGGAGGAGAAAATTAGGAACTTCCTGAAATGTTTCTCTCATTTAAATCATTCTTATAATGCGTAAAATCGCTTCAGATAAACAGGGCTGTAACTAGGGTTTTTAGCGCTCGGGGACAACTGAAGTTCTCGTGCTCCTCTTGTTTCCCAAGAATAGAAAACATTTCATCCTAAAAATTCGTAACTTCCTGAATTCGTAACCCCTAAAAATTCGTAACTTCCTGAATTCGTAACCCCTAAAAATTCGTAACCCCTGAATGCTGAGCCCGGGGACAGATGTTCCCTCTTGCCCTCCTCTAGCTACTCCCTTGTAGATGAATTATAATGTATACAAAAATTACCTTTCCGTCCTCGTCGATGCACGAATATAGGCTACTCCAATTACATCTCTCTCTAAATGGAAAATTGCATTATAACATTATTCATGGAATGATCAAAGTTTACTAACATTTGTTGGTCAAGTATCGTAAAACTGAACTTATTGTCTTATCCCTTTTGTGATTCCCCTGTTCTGAATAATTAGATGGTGGATATTTTCTTACTTTATGCTGCCTGGAATTTTACAGAACTGTCATCTTTAAAAATTCGGGCCGGGGTTTTTGACAGAAATTTGCTTTTTAAATTCTTTAATAATTAATATCACGCGATCCAAAACTACAAAGGTTACGTCTTTTGATTTAATTGATCGTACTTATGATATTAAAAATCGTGTTTTTTTTTAAATTTAACATAATTCTTTCAATTCATATCACTGTAAACACTCTAACGCAAATAGCACAAATTTTGTTTTTAAATGTAACAGTTCATAAAAACTGAATCATTTCTGTATATTATCATTTTGGCTATTTAACCAATATCCCTAATGTTTTCAATTTCGCTACTCCTTGCTTAGTCATTCATGGTGTTCTAAGAGATGCTTTCCTTTATATGAAATGAGTTTTGACGTTTCTCTTATACCACAATCTGATTTTGAGAAACGTGTTTTTAGCTTTTTAAGAACTATCTATTAATTTGACGTTTTAAACATTCCAATATTTACTTGAGAGGAAACACATTAATTTCAGCAAGACAAGGTTTCATTATATTTTAATTCTGTAACAATATGAAATATCTGTGCATGTTTCAAAATAACTTTCTTCGCGATTATTTCACTAATAATCGTGTGAGAAAAATAAGGTTTGAGTTAAAAAATTACTGAAGTTGCCAGTAATAATATTTTTTTTATTCTAATAGAATAACTGAACTCATTTTCAACAACTTCAGATGAGATAAAACTTCTTCTAAACGATACAGTCTATTGGCACATTTTCCCCCAACTCTATTTCCTGACTTCATGTTAAATGTTACATTTTGATAATTCAGAGCTATTTAAAATATTTATATTATTATTATTATTGTATTTAAATTAGATGAAATAATGTTCATAAAATCATATGTTCATTTTAAAATAATCTTCTGATCATATAAATTTACAAATTATACTGTTTTACTGTTTAATTTGGTTTATTATCTACTTCTTAAAGTTTTTTTTTTTTTTTTTTTTTTTTTTTTTTTTTTTTTTTTTTTCTCCAGAATTTTACTATTTCTATAAATTTGGTATCAGCTTCGGTCTAAATACCTGAAGCTACATTTATTACTTTTAAAATGAAATAGAAAGTTAGAAATATATACAGCAACAACATATTTAATATGACAAAAGAAGGCTTAAGGAATAATTTACAACATGACTAAAACTAAACAGTTTCTTCTGAATGGTTTATTAATATGGGAAATTCCTTCCGAGGCTTGAATTTAGCAGTTAATGAAGTGAAACATCTAAAATTCATTATTCATAAAATGTTACGCAGATTTGAATATACGTTATCTTAAAACTAGCTATGCAAGACAAGTTTAAAGTACTGCATTATAAAAATTCTCTCCTTCTGACTTCCCTTTGTATAATGAAATGCACATTTTTTTAAATGTTTGGAGCATTACGACTAATTTTCATCCTTAATGAAAGCAAACAATGGGTCATTTAAATGGGTTTAATCATAAATGGAATCTCATGATTTTTTAAATATCAACAGAAAACGCAGATATCCTTTGAATGTTTTCTTTAGCTGGTTAAATATTACGATTTAAACCTTTTAAGCGTAATTCTGTGCAACTTCAAAGAATGTTTTTTATCATTTACCTATACTTTATTCTACTTTCCATTACGTAACCTCCATTAACTTTCGATATTTAAATTCTCTTCGTTTAGGAATGAAGTACGAGTTTAAATTGCCACTTTATATACAAAAATCGAAACTCATTATTCTTTAGGGTGTGTAGTTTACTAAATGGAGAATAAAAAATTACCTTGATCCGCTAAGCAAAAACGTTATGCTATTTACAAAGATTACTTAACACGCAAGCGAATAAAAAGAAAGCAAACGCAAGATTAGAACGTGTATGGTTTAATGCAAACCATGTTTCTTTGAAAGGTTCTTTTTTACGTGAAAGGCATCCTAAAAAGTTTCTGAGAGATGCAAATGCAGAACTTTCTGCATTAAAATAGTGTTTTAATGCGGAAGTTCATTTAGTATGGCTGAACAAAGGTTGAATTTAAAAATATATCTTTATTACCCAAGTTACTATTGTTTAATAAAAACATGGAAATATATTTGCAAATTTGAAATTTGATGACGAAGGCTTTGTGCGTAATTGGTATGATTATTTCCTTTATTAAAACTTTTTCTAAAGACCATTCAAATATATAAAGAAATTTGCAAAACAATTATCAATTTTATTTCAAAATGAAATTTGCTCATTATTTCACTGAAAATATTGTTGCGGTCAAAGGTTTCATGTTTTTCTCTTTAAATATTCATTTTGGATAAGAGGGAAATTACCAATTTTTTATACAAAATGTAGGATATCATCATCCACAACAATCAGATGGTTCTGCAAGCTGCCTGAAAGAACTCTGGGTTTTGTGAAAAGACGCAGACGATGCCGCAATTAAAATGAAAGAAGATGCTATGTGTAAAAGACGCGAACCTCATCTGTAAAAAATCCTCATTTATTTCCATCTACGAATGTAATCATTTTCATTGTATGTAGTAACTATTAGTATTTTCATTAAATATTCAAATTAACCATCAGTTAGACTAGTTTATTAAAAACACTTAGAATCCAACAGCCATCTCTGGAGTAAGTTCACAAACAGGTGTAGAATAGTGAGCCCGCCTCCATAATAATAATGGTAAAGTAAATAATTAGAAAAAACACAAGAAGAATGAGTTAACAATACATCCTTAGGCCACGAGAAATATCGAAAATTTCCCCCAAAACACATAGAAAGATTTTCCCAAAAAATTCATAGCATGAGTGAATTCATAGTCATACACTAAGTCGTCTTAGAATTTACTTGTTACATCACGAGTAAATTCTAAGGTGAAATTCATTTAACGCTCTTTGAATCACTATTCTCACATATGATTAACAATTGATTTCTTATAGTTCTAGGAGCTGTATTTATATGGCATTGCACAGGCTTCTGGAAGTTTCGTGAAAAATGGATAGTAGGGTTTAAAAAAATCGTTTTCTCAAATCTTTTAGAAAGTTGTCAAGTTGGCAACAAAAATATCATTATTTAAAAGGTTTTAGCCTGAGAACTGGAAGGTCTACAACTCTATATAAGATATAAATACTCTTATACAAAACATGCGACTACAGATTTAATTACACACAAAGTAAACCCAAAAATTATCCCCTTGAAAGCAGCAAATAAACATTTAAGTAAAACAATACACGAAAACAATAATGCAATCAAAAGGATTTTAGTATTTATAGAAATTTACAACGATATTGATTACACCAATTGACACACATGATTACACACATGTTAATCGTTTCCGTAAATATAAATATTTTTTTTAATTTTATTTTAATGTTTTTTGTTTTGAAATTTATTAAGCATCTGATATTTACTAAGCAACTGTAACTTCGGTCAGTTTTAATTAAATTTTGCGTTATAGATTTTTTTGGAAATTTTTATATTTTTGTTATATTTGAAATCTGATACAGCAAGCAGTTTTCAGAATAGTCATTATACTTTTTTCTAGCTAATAGCGCGTGTTGATGCTACAAGAAGCACGCAAGCGGATTCGGCGGAATGTATTATATGACAGAGATTTGTACCTCAGAAATAACCTTAGAATATGTATTATATAATATTATGCTGAGATTCCTAGTTCCCACAATAAAATACTTACAATTTAATGCTAGAATGAAGAAGAATAATTAGTACAAAAACTTTTGGTAACAAAAAGAATGAGTAAGAAAACTTGAACAGAAATGTGTAATATTTTAATAGTTTCCTTTGCATATTAAAAAGACAATTCTAAAACGTGTTTACTAAATGTAGGTATAATACTTTAATATGAAATGGAGCAAATAATAACTCTTACGAGGAACTGCTATTTTGCTATGCTTATTCTCAAAATATTATCTTCTTTATTTCTTTATTTAATGAAACACTCATATTACAATAAATGAATAACTGCTTTACATGAAAAAAACATATTTTGATTATTCTTTGATGTTTATTACTATATATGTAATTTAATAAAACTTCATTTGAAACTGATTAACAGTAATTTCAATTATTACAAGCATCCATGATTACGACAGGACATTAAAACTCTCCAAGGATTCAACATTAATTGTATTTAATTTTTGATTTACTTTTTTTTTGATTTTCTCACATTATCATTAACCTTCAAACTCGTTTTATTTAATTACAGAGAAAAAATTACTAAGCTAATGACATTTTAGGAGGGAAAAGTGGCAAAATCAGAGTCGCATTCTGTGAAAATAAGCATAGTGTAGCATTTACGCTTTTTTAATTACAGGATTTTTTTTTACTTACTTGGTGTAAAGAAAGTCTCACTCTTTTAAGAAAACAAAACATTTTTCTTAATGTGTGCTTTAAAAATAAGCCTCAAATATTATTTTTCTTATTTCTTGCCACGCAGTTGGCAACTTATCAAATCTTCTGGGGAAAATAATTGCTTTGAGTAGATAAAATATAAATTTTTCTGTTATTTGTTTTCATTTTTCTCAAAGTATCGCAGCAATTTAAGTAATTGATAATTAATGATAATAATCGGATAATGCGTGCCTGAGTCAGAATCCTTCATCTAACGCATTAAATGAGTCTGCATTTTCCATTTACAAACATGGTCCAGGTTTTTAAAATATCAGGGCCACCCAGAAGTGCAACAAAGATTTTGCAGTGTTTCGATTATTTTATAATTATATATATTTTATTTGTAATTTTCACATATTTATCTTGTTTTTCTATTTTACATCGCCTCTTTCTCTCAGGCACTATGTGGAAGTGTGAATTAACAAAAGACCTTAGGAGTAGAAAGAAGGACTTTAAAGACTTGGTTTATTATGAACATGAAAGAAAAAACATAGCTTATTTATGTTTATTAAGAAAGTCGTTTGGTTCAACAATAACCTGCACGATTACTTATTGGTGAAGATTTGCTAAAACGCTGGATGACGTTTCTTTGAACTTAATGCAAGCTCTTTTGCTTTCAACATTTGCATAAGTTGCAAATATTTTCCTCAGAGTAAATCTGAAAGCCATTCAAACACACTTCACTTTTTGGTAAATAAATTTTAGCTGCATGTAAAAGATTTACATTCCTTTCTTATACGCTTTTATAGTTTATGATTTTTGTTGCTATGATAAAAACTTTGTCATCAATTTTTAACCTATTTCCTGATAAGCTATCGAGTTCAAATGTTGCACAAACTCACTTTGTGGATCCAAAAGCAGTGTGTCACAAAATGATCCTGTCAAAAGTTTCAGTACATAATTTTTGGTTCTGCGCAATATCTGGCATTCCACTAAAAACTTATATTCATACAAAAGAGATCTTAGTTATAAAACAGCATGGAAAATCAAAATGTTTTAGCTAGAAAGAAGTAACATCGCACATTTCATATCCGCACACTCTATTTTATAAATACTTCGGTTCAGACAAGCACCAAATAAGAAGTGGCGCTATGTCTTACTCTAAAGCATCCGAAGATACTGAAAACTGTAGCATGTTTTTGCAATATCTGCTGTACTGGAATAAAAGCGAATTAACTTGGGAATATAAAAATAAGAAAGATGAATTTTGGGATCAAGAGGACGATAAAAGTAAATTGTAAGTGCTCAGAATTGAATTTAAGTAAAACAAAGTGTTTCACAATTCTGTAGAAAGACATGTACTAATTAGCAGCGATATCTGATTTCACTGATATGCTGGCGGCCGAAGATCTATGTAGATTTTCATTGAAGATAGATTTGATAGAAGAATACAATTTCTTAAATTGTATAGCGACAACAGTGAGTAACGTTAACTGATCGAAAAGTATGCTGTCAGTCATCGGTGACTACTGCGGACCAAACGAAAGTCTAGTGTTTGACACCATGTATACACTGGTGTGCAAAAATTAAGGACGAAACGGTTTTTTCAATATAACTTTGTACAAAAGCTTTCAAAATCAACACATTTAATACCATAAGATCCCCAGTACGTAAGGACATGAGTAATGTAAGCAACACTTACTAAAAGAGAAATCAGAGGGACAAAAAGAAGCTTTATTGAAAAAGTAGCATGGAGCGCAATGCGACTGAAGGCCGAAACATCCCTGTGATGGGTGTCCAGCAAGAAACATCCGGCCTTTAATAGGGGATATGATCTCCCCTGACTGCTAGGCAGGTTTCACAGCGTTTGCCCATGCTGAGAATGAGGGTGTCAATGAGTTGTTGAGGCATTGCTGCCCATTCGTCTTGCAGCACCAATCGAAGCTCCGGAATCGTTACTGGTGGTAAGGTACCAGCTGCAAAGCGTCTGCCTAGAAAATCCCATACATGCTCGATGCGATTGAGATCCGGAGATCGTGCCGGCCAATCCATACGTTCTATATCCTCACTCTCTAAGAGCTGTTCGGCAGCTACTGTGCGATGACATGGTGCATTGTCGTCCATGAAAAGGAACTGCGGACCCATAGCGCCTCTAAAAAGACGCACATATGGAAGAAGAATCTCGTTACAATAACGGGTCCCGTTGACTGAACCTGCGTCGAAGATGTGAAGGTCTGTACGACTACCAAGCATGATGCCTCCTCAAACGAGAACACCGCCACCTCCATATCTGTCCCTTTCAATGATGTTCGAGGGATGATTGCGGCTTCCCCGCTCTCTCCAGATGAGCATGCGATGAGACTCGCTACTCAGACTGAATCTGCTCTCATCTGTAAAGAGTAGTCGTCCCCATTCATTGTCTCTCCAATTCCGGTGTTCCCGGCACCACAGAGAACGCCTTCTCCGATGGGCAGGCGTTAGAGGTACACACCGTACAGGCCGTCGTGCAAACAGACCACCACCGTGCAGTCTTCTGGCCACAGTAAAACGCGATATCGGTCGTCCAGTCGCCTGTGTCGTGTGTCTAGCGATTTCTCCCGCTGTCTGCCGCCTGTTTCTTCTGGCCTGTAAGGCAATATACTGGTCATCTGCGGGTGTGGTTCCTCGTGGACGACCATTACTAAACCCACGGATAGCTGTTCCTGTAGTTTGAAATTGTCTAGAAAGTCGTGAAACGATGCTGTGAGCAATTCCGAACTCTGCAGCCACACTTGTCACACTGCGGCCTTCCTCCAACTTCCCAATGATTCGACCTCGGGTAAAAGCATCCAGATGTCGTCTAACAGATTGATTATTCGCCATTTCTCGCTGCGGCAACAACTCGGTGTGATTTTAACTGCTATACGGCGTGCAATCTCTTTGCCAGAAATACTGATCTTACACCGACAACATGCTTTATACTACTCAGACACTCCCCCATTACGTCTACCTGCATATCTGCGCATGTGCTACCGTACATCACCTTACTTAATCTCCTGATTGGTCTTTCTGTCCGCTTTGCCTCTTCGTTCAGCTGATATGCTAATTTTTCGACTTCGTCCTTAATTTTTGCACACCAGTGTAGTAAGACATATAGCGATTGGTATGGCGCTTAAACTGTTAAGTGATTCATTTAGGTAGAACCTAAATACAACACTAAATTCTTCATTTATTTTCCTACGAGTTAATGATATGCTCCTTATAATGGTAGCCTTCGTGATTTACTAAATTACAGACATCGAAACTTTAACTCCTGATGACATTA